AAATCGAGAGGCATTACTAATTTCGGTCCATTGATTTCAATGGGTCTAGTCAGAGAAAAACTCAGCTGGGCACAACCCAATATTTCTCAGAAATATTATATATCACTCCTCTAAGAAAGCCTATTAAAATTATCCCAAGGCATAGGAAAAGAGTTACTGAGACAAATGTGCTCCAACTGTACCGTATGCAGGGATTCAGCAGCTTTCTTTGGCAAGACCAGTCCACAAAATCCCCTTCTACCTGAGGGATAACCCTTTCTCTTGAGCTGGTTAATGATTTCCCTACTTATTTTCACCCCCAACCAATGTTACCGTACAGCAAACAATGCCAAATCACCACAATGTTTTCAACTAACCCTGCAGCTAGAGGATAGAAGCTTGCATTTAAAAATATGCAAGCATAACATCAGCACACAACAATAGACTATCGAAGATATGGTACCCAATTGCAGTAGAACCAGATGGCCCCTAATGTCAACACCAACTCTTATGACTCTGTGAATTGTTCCAATTCTATGAAGTGTTAGGGGCTTTTTCAGCCATTAAAATAAATGCTTCTGGCTACTTCTGGGGTGCCCAGTGTAAAGAAATGAAGTCAGGAAGTGTGTGTTCATGAAAGAAATGCACCTTGGAAACTGCCTGCACACCCCCAGATTTCTAACACAAATTTAAGAGCTTCATAAAAGTGTCAGAGAGTGGGAGGCGCATCACCTATGTGTCCATCCCATATTTGTTTTAAGCATGTCCCGAACAGATGCCTTCCCACATTTCAGCACAGCACCAAGTTTCCTCCCCTTCTTTGCAGAAGACCAAGCATTTGTATTCCAGATTGATAAGTCATTTACACAGTTCCTTGGCCACTGAGCAGACTTCAAGAGAACTGAAATTAACTGATCAGAGGTATGTGAAGGATTTTGAATCATTCATGTATGATGGATAAGTGTTCGCGTAGTTAAAATTATATTGTTTTAAATTATGTCCTTGTTTTATGTTTCTAGTTTTTATAGAGTTTTATGTAGTGTAAAATCGCATGTATTAACCTTCTGCCATCTTTGCCAGACTTCTCCTGAAAGAAGTATTTATGCTCGAATAGTCTCTCGCCAATAAAGGTAAAAACAAAAACCCAAAGGGATATATTTCCTTCTCGATAGCTCAGTAGCACTCATTAGCATTAATGGAAGTTACGCATGCAGAAATGCGCCAAAGGAGAAAGAATGCCCCCCGGAGTGTGCATCCCACCTCACATCCATAAGCATATGCAAAACTTGATGCCTAGAACAATGCGCCGCTGAAGGAACGAAAGACACTATGTACACAGCAAATAAGTACGAAGTTTCAAACTCTGTTCTAAAAGCATCAAGGCTCAGCCCCCTAATACCCAATCACACAGTTAAATAAATCAATAATATATTATTTATACCCTGCCCATCTGGCTGGGCCTCCCCAGCCACTCTGACGGCTTCCAACAAAACATTAAAATACCATAATATATCAAACATTGAAAGCTTCCCTAAACAGGGCTGCCTTCAGATGTCTTCTAAAAGTCTGGTAGTTGTTGTTCTCTTTGACATCTCGTGGGAGGGTGTTCCACAGGGTGGGTGCCACTACCGAGAAGTCCCTCTGCCTGGTTCCCTGTAACTTGGCTCCTCACAGTGAGGGAGCCGCCAGAAAGCCCTCGGCACTGGACCTCAGTGTCCGGGTAGAATGATGGGGGTGGAGACGCTCCTTCAGGTATACTGGGCCGAGGCCGTTTAGGGCTTTAAAGGTCAGCACCAACACTTTGAATTGTGCTCAGAAACGTACTGGGAGCCAATGTAGGTCTTTCAAGATCGGTGTTATGTGGTCTCTGCGGCCGCTCCCAGTCACCAGTCTAGCTGCCGCATTCTGGATTAGTTGTAGTTTCTGGGTCACCTTCAAAGGTAGCCCCACGTAGAGTGCATTGCAATAGTCTAAGCGGGAGATAACCAGAGCATGCACCACTCTGGCGAGACAGTCCACGGGCAGGTAGGGTCTCATCCTGCGTACCAGATGGAGCTGGTAGACATCTGCCCTGGGCACAGAATTGACCTGCACCTCCATGGACAGCTGTGAGTCCAAAATGGGGGGCTGCAATGGGGCAGCAGGTGTTTTGCCCTCTCATCAAATAATTCTACAAGCAATGATCTCTCTACTGGGGGATATTTGTTTGTTTGAAGCTGTGTGTGTGGTCAATGCAACATTATAATTCCGAGAATAGGCATTGTCAATGCAAGTAATATACCCTAGAAGAATAGCTGTTTAACTGGAATGAGAGGATCAAGCCAATGGCCCATCTAGTCCAGCATCCTGTTCTCAGAGTAGCCAAACATCCCTGTGGGGAATCAACAGGCAGGACCTGAGCACAAGAACACTCTCCCCTCTTGAGGTTTCCAGGAACTGGTATTCAGAAGCATCACTGCCTTCTTCTCTGCAAGGTGCGGGGATTTTCCTTACTCACACCTTGCAGTGGGGAGGGGGGAAAGGAGAGAGATTTACAAGTGTGATATTTCCATTAACTTTTGAACACGCATACGGCAGGTGCATGTGGCATCACTGGGAGGGCTGTGTCGTTTCTGAATCCTTCAGGAGCTGCAGCCCCGCCTGTCCCATCAGGTGATATCCCAGAACAAGCTATGGAGTTGGAACCAATGAACTTCCCAGGCCAAGCAACAAGCTGTCCAGGGGGATCGGGGGTGGCAGCGGGAGATTCCCAGCTTCCCGCTTGTACACTAAAGTCTACCAAGGATACCTGAACAATGTTCTGCTTTACTCACTGCCCGTACCCTTCCCAAATCCCACCCCACATTTTCTACAGACGCACACGCAGCAAGCCCTACATTTGCACCCAATCTGGCTGCAAGGTGGGAAATGACACTGTGCCATTTGGTACCCCACCCCCCTGCCCAGGTACCTCTTGTTCTGTTTTTCACTCCGCGATCAAACCATCAGTCAGTCAGTCAGTCAAACTGACAGATTAGCATTAGCACTCTTAGCTCTGGTTAAGAAATGAACCCACAGTGGTAGTTCAGACACTCCTGTCTGCCAAGGGCCTGGGTCAATGCCTGACCAACATCCTCTTTTTTTTTCTTTTTAATTTGGGCATGCGCACCCTAACCTACCTGAGATCACTGTCTGTTGCAGTCGCCAGCAATTTTATTCTGAATCATTCAGCCCAAGTCGTCTCACTGTTGTGCAAGTCTTGAAATAAATGACTATGCTGGAATTTCAAATACCGTAATGCCTGGCAAACATCCTGTTTGTTTCAATGGGGTTTTCAGAGATAAAGGGAGGAATTCAGTGATGCTAAGGCAATCATTCCATCAGGGCAACCAACACCCCCCCCCTTCTCCTCCCTGCCCCCTGCATGCTGTTCTGGAGGTTCTCCTACCCCCACAGCACCAATTTCAGGGGGGATGAAGGAAGGAGAGGGGAGAAAGGCCCGTTGTGCAAGCAGAAGTCCTTGAACACAGTTTCTACTGAGGAGAGTCATTAGTTGAACCCTGCCCAGTGGTTTTGGTGACTGAGGACCCTTCTGCCTATTCAATGTTTTCCAAAAAGGAGAGGCAGGCCACCTCAAAGCCCACCTTGCATTGATCCGATCGTGTGCCATTTGCTCCAGGTGAGGACCATGCCAGGGCCACCATTCCAGGCACCCGGCAACATCCAGGTACACAATGCAGGCAAAGTGCGGGGTGATATCTCTGGAATCCTGCATTAGCCATCCGTGAAACTGCTGGAGCAAGATTAAGCAAGAGAGGTGGGAGGGAGAAGTCTATATTTTACTAACGCACAAATTCTGTTTCGTTGTTTTTAAGTTGACAAATATCTATTTCACAGCAAAGCAACATCCTGGGAACAGCTGGGTGGCACTTTCAAGCTCAAATGAGCCAGAAGTGCATGCTGGCAAGTCACCTCCGATTGCTTCTGAATGGCAGCACATGGAGATTTATGCCGGGCTATAAATTAGGACAATTATTTCTCTCCGGTTTGCTTTTTATTCCAGGCAGCAACTCTGTGTTTTACTCCCCCCCACCCCGCACCCCGCTCTTAAATAAAAAAGGATATCTTCCCTTTCTTTGATGATGAGTTCGTTCTGTTCCTCAAGTTGTCTGATCTTCTTCTCAAACGACTCCTGCTCAGCTTTCAGGCGCTCCTCTGTCACCTCTTTTTCCTCACTCACCCTGAAAGAATGAAAGAACACACACGCTATCAGACAAATATTATGCATGAACACAAGCGGGGAAAGCTTCTGATCAGGGCCAGCCTTAGGCATCGGGGCAACTTCTTCCCCCACCCATCCCAATCTCGCTCCGAAACATCGGGGGGGAGGGAGAAATGTGTGGATAGATTTACTACTGCTGCTTCTGCTCATTTACATAGCTCCTGTCATCAGCAGAGCAGCCGATTCCTTTTATTGCTTTCAATATCAGCAGCTGCCATACAAAGTGAGTCATTATTATTGCTGTTTTACCAACAGGGAACGAAGGCTGAGAAAGTGACTTGACCAAGACCAAACACTGAGCCCACTGGCAGAGGTGGGACTTGCTTTGACTGAGGAGCAAAAGTCTCAGGGTCTTATCTGCTGTTGGAGCGTATCACTTCCAGCAGCAGGTGGAGAATCAAATGTCTGAAAGTTTCCCACCTCATAAAATACCGTATTTTTCGCTCTATAAGACGCACCCGACCATAAGACTCACCTAGTTTTTAGAGGGGGAAAACAAAACAAAACAAAATTCTAAATCAAATGTTGTTGAAGAGGAAGGAGGAGGGAGGATCAGGCTAAGGAGCCGCCAGTCCATACACCCCTTTGGGGAAGCTGGATCTGCTGGCCACCTAACAGCGTTGTCCCTGCTGGGGGGATCGGAGGAGGCGGGCGAGACGAAGCAACACTCTTCAGCGAAGCGGGAGGAGGAAAGGAAGGGAGCCCTTATGGAGCCCTTTCCTTTCCTCCTCCCGCTTCGCTGCGCTGCTCTGCTGAAGCCAGCAGAGCAAGAGGGAGAGCTGCGCAGCGGCTCTTGGTCTGCTGGCTTCCCAGCGAAGTAGGATGAGGGACGGAAGGGGCTCCGTAAGGGCTCCCTTCCGTCCCTCATAGTGCATCGCTGTGAAGGCATCACAACAAGAGGCGCTGCGCAGCTCTCCCTCTTGCTCTGCTGGCTTCAGCGATAGCTGCGCAGCCTGCATTCGCTCCATAAGACGTGCACACATTTCCCCTTACTTTTTAGGAGGAAAAAAGTGCATCTTATAGAGCGAAAAATACGGTACTCTCTACACCAGCCTCCACCAACCTGGTGCCCTCCAGTTGTTTTGGACTATGACTATGAGTTGCAGCCTAAAATACCTGGTGAGCAACAGGCTGGTGAAGGCTGGTCCACGTTACATATCATGGCGGAAGTTCTAGGCAATGGTGGTCCCATGCATGGCCCAAGGGTGGACCTCCGGCTCTGTCTGCAGATCTCCCTCTCCATTTCCTCCCTCACCTGCAGAGAGGGGATCCTGCAAACTCTGCTAGTCCCTGACTCTCTCCCCCAGGGACCAGAGGATTGTGTCCTTAAGGATCGTAACTGTGGTGCTGCTTTATTTTGTGATCTCAGCTTTTTTATAAACCCAAGTGTTGATAACGTGCTGTCAAATATTTAAACTGATGTTACTGGGGGAGGGAGGGAGGTTCTTCTGTGTATGAAATAAAAATCCCCCAACACTGATAAACTGGCTGAGGATACCATGAAAAGCCATGTTGGCGATCAGACTGACAAACAAAGGAATGTGAAATATAATAAGCAAGAAAACAAATCTGTGTCTTTTTCATGAGCTGTTATGAGCCTCAAAACCAGATACCGACAGGTGTCTGTATATAAGGCACAGCCTTGGCTTCCAATACTAGCATCTGCATCTAGTACTATACCAATGTGTGCTGCCACAACTCTAGCTCATTTGCACAACTGGAGAAAGTGTTCCTCCAAACGTTGTGGGGGTGGAGGGAGCAGCATCACAGAGTGTGTGTGTGTGTGTGTGTGTGTGTGTGTGTGTGTGTGTGTTTGGCCAGGGAGGGGGGCAGCCCTTGCAAAGAAGATAAGCCTTAGAAGATACAATTACTCACAGGTGACCAAAAAGACAGCAGAGAAAATGGATACACATGCTTTGTCAGATTATGTCAGATTTATGTCAAGGCCTATTCAAGACCTGCTGGAGATTACTGTGTACTTTAGTGCTTTATGCCTCATGGTGGAAATGCCAAAAATTATTTCTGGGTCTGTCAGGAAGGAAATCACTGGAAGCTAAACAAAAACTTTGGCTCACTTGCTGCACTTCCACTTCCGATTCATCTCCCCAGAACATATTGTTCTACATGTTACTTGCTATAGAATGACAGGAGCACAAGCATGATGCAACTCACTTGCGTTATCCTTTGGAAAAACTAGTGGTTTTCATTTTATTATTTCAACGGTGCACTGGACTTGTTTTAAATGGTATATTTTTGTAACCCAACCTGGAACCATTTGGGGAAGAGTGAGCTATAAATGCAAATAATTAATGAGCAAATAAGTAAAGGCTTAGGGCATTATTCAACTACCGCGTTGCATCAAGACAAGGATTTCCATGTGTACAATGGTATTTTCTTCCCCCGACGCATATTCCACAACCTGCCCAAATCTGCTCCAGAGGGTTGCAGAGCATGTGGGGAGGAGAGGGAGGGAATATTCTGTTGCACAAACAGAAATCCTTGCACTGACCGAACAAGTGATTTAACGCTATACTGGATTCCTCCCTAGGTGAATGGAGCTCAGCTGAGGTCACCAGGTCAGGTTAACATAAAATGAGTCCTTGCTATCAAAAGAAAAGACCACCTCATCCAATGACCTGTTTCCTGCAATAGTCAACCATTAAGTATGACTACACACCCCTGCTGCTATTATCCACCAGCTAGCATTCAGACGAAGAATACCACTGCCACAACCTCCTCCCTGAGCAAAAACATACAAAATGCGGCTTGGGGTCAAATTAATTTGTCCATCAGTTTGTGTATTTATTTATTTATTCATTTATTGAATTTGTATATTGCCCTTCATCCAAAGATCAAAAGGCGGCTTACAACATAAAAATGCAAAATGAGAAAACAAAATGCATAACAGAAAAGACAAAAACAAACCAATAACCCTCCTACAAACACATTTAAAAAGACATAAGATTGGTTAATCAGCCAAAGGCCTGGTTACAGAGAAACAGTTCTGCCTGTCTTTCGCCTGTGGCAAAACTTATTTTTCAAACGCAAGTCCCTAGACATCGGGTTCCCCCATCATTTAGAAAGTCCAAACAAGGAGAAGATGTGAGAAGAGGCTCGTTCAAATTCTTAACTAGCACGCGAAAACAGAATTCTCTTAATTAAGGATTTGAAGGAGTAACAGGAAAGGTCTCCTGCTAAGAAAAAGCGATACCTGGCAAAACAAAAGCTGGTGAAAGCTTTGCACAATGATATGAAAGGCGTCATAGAGGAGACATTATGTTTCAACATTTAGACCCCTGCATTTCTTATCAGGGTGCAGGCTCAATATTTCCTTAAGAAGCTTTCTTGAACAGATACACACTTGAGATTTACAACATTTGAACCTTTGTGTGGAAAATGGCTAAGGGAAAGAAGTCCTGGCCTGTGCGGGGCTAACATCTAGCTCAGAGCTTTCCAAACGGTCTGTCGCAACACATTAGTGTGTCGGGCACAGTGTGTAGATGTGTTGTGTGAATGTCCCCTCCTCCTGGGGCTGGAAAGGGGTTAGTATAACCTCCGGTTTGCTAGTAAAACTGAATTACTGTGCCATGAAATGATGCATGTCTTAAAAGTGTGTTGTGAACACGAAATTTGGAATGCTCTGATCTAGCCATAGCTGTCAACGTTTCCCTTTTTTTAAGGGAAATTCCCTTATTCTGAATAGGATTCCTCACAAGAAAAGGGAAAAGTTGACAGCTATGAATCTAGCTGCTTCAACAGACAATTGAAGACCAGGGGACTCAGCCACAGAATGGAGCTTTGGTTGGAACATCAGAGCTGCCCAGAGTGGCTGCGGAAACCCAGCCAGTTGGGCGGGGTATAAATATTTATTATTATTATTATTATTGGAGAATAAGAAGGGGAAACCTATGTATACCTTTGCCCTGCTGTTGTGACTTTTGCATCACTGTCTATTTTATTGTGTTTAAAAATATATTGTAAGCCACCTTGAGCACTTCGGTTAGTAGGCAAGGTATAAATAAACGCTCCTAAATTAATTAATAAATAAATAAGCAAGCAGCTCCACACAGGAGCTTCTGCATAGGCCAGCAAGTGCACAAGGTGAACAATACAGGACTGGCCTGCTTACAGTGGTGCCTCGCAAGACGAAATTAATTCGTTCCGCGAGTTTTGTCGTCTTGCGATTTTTTTCGTCTTGCGAAGCACGGTGTCGGGAAAGTTTTGGAAAAGCTTCAAAAATCACCAAAGTCTTTAAAAACCTCAACACACAGGCTCCTATGTACACAGCGTTCTATGAGTTGCTCCTCGAAGTCAAGTCGCAACTGTATTAACGGTGTTAAGAAAAAGGAAACAAACTTGCAAGATGTTTCCGTCTTGCAAAGCAAGCCCATAGGGAAAATCGTCTTGCGAAGCAGCTCAAAAAACGAAAAACCCTTTCGTCTAGCGAGTTTTTCGTCTTGCGAGGCATTCGTCTTGCGGGGCACCACTGTACTCTGCAAAGTGGACGGTGTGTTACAGGAATGAGAAGAAAACAACAGTCATGCTAAGCTGCTGGTAAGAACTCAGCAGAGGTTGGATGGCCACTTGTCATGGATGCTTTAGTTGAGATTTCTGCATTGCAGGGGGTTGGACTAGATGACCCTCAAGGTCCCTTCCAGCTCTACCATTCTATAATTCAGACTATACAGACTTCCGATTTGACACAGCAAGGCAAGCAGGTTATTTTCTTAAACACCACTGGTGACATTAGAGAAGGATTATTTGAATGGAAATTATCTGTATGGAAATGAGGCAGGTAGACTGTTATACAGGCTGCCAAAATATTACAGGGCCAAATTCAAGGTGCTTAAGATGACTTATAAAGCCCAGTGACAACTTGGGACCTGGATACCTCAAGAAGTGTTGTTTCCTGTTCATTTGTATCTTCTGGGAAGGCTCTGTTGCTGAAATTTGCTATGCAGCAACACAGGGGAAGAGCCTTTTTGGTGGTGGTGCCCCAACTGTGCAGTTGCCTCCCTTCTGAGTAACAGCTGACTGTTGACTTTTTGCAGTATGGTAGCGCTGCAGAGAGCTTGCTGGGGAGACCATGCATTAAAAAGGGACTCAAAAATAACTTAAACAAGGTTTTAATAAGAAAAACAAAAACTCCTTTTACACTAAATACATTAACAAACAAACATGACCCAACCACCAACCCATCCCCCAGGGTAATGGGAGAGCTAGGTGCTGCTCCTTATATACTACACCCAATTACCAACACAGCTTAATCAATACAACTCAGCAGCACCTGCTATGTTTCACAGCTGTAAAGCTGGGTCTCGTTATCTTGCTCTGGCCCTTGCTTTGGCCCCTTAAAGACATACACATCGGGTGGAACAGTGATGAACCTTTACATTTAAAGAAACCATTCAACATTTCCCCTGCGGTTCATCATTGTGGAACAAAAACATAAAGCATACTTTGTACATGTTTTTCATGTATACCTTTTGGAAGTGCTTTAGTAAAAATGTCTGCAATTTGATTGTCACCTGGAACATATTTAAATACAACCATTTCATCAGCAATTAGTTTCTTTACAAACTGTAAACGTAATCTTAAGACTTTAGTGCGCTGCGTATTGGTTTCTGAACATAGGATAGCGAGTCCACTCTGGGAATCAAGGTAAACTTTTACTGGTAGTGTTACTTGCATCTGTAGGTCTGCGAATACTTGCAGATACCATTCCACATCACGAGTGGCCTGAACGCATGCACATAATTCACTCTCTGTTGTGGAGAGACAAATAATGTTTTGTGTCTGGGACTTCCATTCAAATGGACAACCATTATAACAAAACACCATACCAGACACACCCCTGCAATTATTTTGTTCCACTGCATGAGATGCATCACAGAAAATTTCAAAACCTTTGTCAATACATGTTGTAAACT